CCCCCCCCCCTGCAGCTGGTGGCGGCACAGAGAAAGGCTGTAGGCACAATACCTTCGTACAGGGTTTCCCATTAGCGCGTGGATGCGCCCCTCTCTTTCTGCGCCCTCGAGTGTTGGAGGGCTCCTCGTTTGCGGGGATCCCTCATCGAGACTCCCGGTTCCTAACCTGTCTGTGTGCCCCCCTGAGGGGAATAAACGTTTTTGGCAACCGAGGCCCTGTTTGTGTGCTTGTCGCCATTTCTCGTCGCTTGTGAACTTCGTCTTGTCTTTTTTTGTCCGTTCCGAGCCTGGTCTTTCATCGCTTAAAAACATAGAGCGGTTCATCCTCATGTGTCTCTTGTTCACTGATGGAGTTACGTAGAGGCTTTTTCGTTTTTTCAGTGTCGACATTTTCCAAAGCACATTTTCCTACACTTGTTCCGGCGTAACCACATCATCGAGCTGCGCCTGCACTTAACCACCGATGTCGTGTTGGTTGAGCGTTGTGCCTGTCGGCTTTTTGGTCGTAACAAACCAACATTCTTGCAGTCGGATTTTCTCTTAACAAAACCCACATCTTGGTGGACACCTTTAATCTTAACATAACCCACATTCTTGCAATCGGCTTTGTCTTGACACAACAAACGATCTTGATAGTAACCTTGAGTGTTTACATTACCCACCGTCTTGGTAGTCGGCTTTTGTCATTACGTTTAACCCATTTCCTTGTATCTGCCCAAACATCTCTCTCTCTCTTTCTATCTCTCAGGTGGGCATCAAGCGATTCGTGCACGTGTCCACCGATGAGGTTTACGGCGAGGGCGAGCACGACCAGGAGCCCATGTTCGAGGACAACGTCCTAGAGCCAACTAACCCTTACGCCGCCACCAAGGCTGGGGCGGAGTTCATCGCGAAGGCGTACTTCAGGTGACAAAAAACGAGCGCCCTCCCCGCCGGCGGGGGGTGTTGTACTCATGAATATCGGGTGCGGTAGACGGTACACCATTGAACCGCGCATCCCTACAATGCCGGGACGGAACGAGAATGCCGTGTGTTCGCCAGTCCAGGCTGCTCTTTATAAGGATGCACCTGAAGCTGGCCATCATCCTCGCGTTTATTTTTGTGCGGGGGGCACGGGTGGTCATGCTTTTTTTTGGCCGCGTCACATGTAGGCCTCTCATGCCGCCGGGGCAGAGGACGTTGACGGGGGTAGGGGGGGGGGGGGGGG